CGTAGAAAAATACTGCAGAACTTTCCCGCCCATCTATTATTTTTATTTGATGGTTCCAGATTAAACTTAAAAATACACGTTACCTATCCGCAAGAGCGTCTTCAAAAGGCAAAAACCTATAAACTAAAATTCATTTGTTAATGTAAAGCTTGAAGCTTGTACTCACCTGATCGTTGCTATATATGCTGAAAATAGCTAAAGACCTATAACTTACGACCCATAAGGGTTATTAAAATATTTAACTACACAATTATAATACATTTCTTAAGGACACCCCGTTAAAAAGTGACAACCGCTTGATACGCTTATCATTACTTCACACTGTTCACGTGTGGAGTTGTGGCGGTCAATTACCTAAGCGTTAACAATAATGGGTGATATAAAAGGTCTCCGCGGTTTTTTCGTCTTCGTTTGAGTTTCTTTTTTGCAGTCTGTTCTTTTCAAATGATGTCAAACTATCATGTGGTCCACGCTTAGTGCCTTCACTATTTCCTAATAGCTTGCGTACCGGTCTTACTACATTGGCTGCAAAATTTCATCGATATTTCCCGTGACTGCGAGGTGCAACTTTGACATCGAAATTTCCAGAACGTAATCAAGGAAACCACCCATGGGTCCTTCGTTCACTAAAAGCATTCTTACCGTGCACTTCCCAAATTTTTTTTATTATATCGTTTTTGCCTTTTTTATAGTAACAAACGTTACATAGCGCATAGATATATATCATTCATTTTCAAGTCAATATAAGTTTTTGGACGGGCCAAAAACCGGAAAACTGTCTTCACAAAAAATGTTAGCTGAAATTTCGCTTTTTAAGCCCATGCTCGTTTGAGACAATCAGATGAGTATTGTCCGATAAATAGGCTGCAGCACCATCTAGTAATAAACAACGGCGGGGACTTTTTATACCACCTATTATTATTTGATTGGAATTGATATGGAACTTTTTATACTTAGCGAACTCACTCTTTGCATTGTTTGTTATCTTTTAAACTATTTACCGGCACGATAAGTTAACATTTGTTATTATTTATATAGAAACGTTTTGTTTACGTAATTTATTTGTATTACATAATTTATTTGATGTTTTAAACTTTCAATCAGAGAGAATGCTTTGATCTATTTTTCTTTCTTCAATATCATCCAGCGAGAGTTGAGCCGCGCCCATTCGCTTTCTCGGAGGTCGGACGTGGCGATTTAGATCCCTTTGCGCACGGAGATCGTGGCAACTTGCTTCCACTTCCATCGTATCCCGATTTTCACACCTATCCAGGTGGCAGGGGTGGTATGCGAAAACGCTTTGATCCTTTTGGACCACTACTCGTTTGCGTCATTCGTCTCTATCCTAATCCTTTTGCCGCCACCCGGTTTAGGTTAGAGACTATTTTATGTAAAAATAATGCTTAACGATAAAATTATATTATATTTTTTATATTGAATTTCATTTGTTGGAATAAATGTTTTTTTGATATATATATATAATTATATATATATATATATGTATACAAAATTATGATAGTTATAGCAATTATTTAAAACATACCAGAGCAAATGAAATTTAATATAAAAATATGATGTAATTTTATCGTTAGGTAGTCTTTTCACATAACATTGTCTCCACCGCTGGGTGGCGGCAAATAATCGGAATTAGGATAGAAACGAAAACGGGTAGTGTTTCGAAAGGATCGAAGTGTTGCCGCACACCACCGCTGCCACAAGGATCGGTGTGGCAATCGGGATTTGATGGAAATGAAAGTAAGTTGCCACGATCTCCGTGCACAAAAGAAATCTAAGTAGCCACGTCCGACCTACGGTAAACCGAATGGACGCGGCTCAACTCTCGCTAGATGATATTGTCTGAATTCATATTTAAAAAAAAAAGTGATGAAAAGTATCCGGAATTATTCTTCAGTCAGTTGATAAAAGAATTTTCATACCCCAGAAATGGGCGCAAAGGCATTCCGTAATGGATCCGAGCGATCAGCAGTTGTTGATGGTGTATTTATTGGTCTGTACAGTAATGGATTTGTTTTGGCCTTGATAAAACTTGAAGAATATTTAAAATTACTTTTGGAAATTCAATAAACGATTCTAATAATTCTTTGCGGTATCTATCGGCCAACTGAGATGCAGACGATATCATCATTGTAACGGAGCCGCTAAGGTCGCTTATAAGTTACTCAAGCGGGAGGCATATATTGGAAGCTTTAGTAGTTTTTATATACAGCAATTATTATAGAGCCCTCAGTTATTGAACGTAGTAAGATGTAGAATAGTTTATCCTGGATATATCGTAGAGCATAGTTACTCTCGTCTGCATTCCAATTCTCGGGCAATAATTCTGAACCTGCAGATTCTTCCGCCAAAATTTCTTGTAATACAAAAGTAAGAAAAGAAATAACAGATGCATATCCATATATATATATATATAAACTTACATTTTCCTCTAAACCAATACAGCGAAATTGCGAATGTTTAGTCAAAACGAAATGGATTAGAGCAATAAGCAAGTCATCTTTTTTTACTAATATCCTTCTTATCCCCCTTAATATCCTTCTATACGTCATAGTTTTTTTAAGCAACTTTTTATTTTGTCTGTCTAACTGATTACAATTTCGGAGTATAAAGCGGTTTTTTTAAATTACTTTATTTTCCGCAACTGACAGAAAACAGCTGGTTTAAATTTGTGACTTCCTCTTCTTAAGTGTTCAATCCGGTAGATAACTGAAACTGTTAAATGGGACGAAGTAACAGAAATGGCGTGAGCATATCTGTTAAATGGAGCGAAGTAATAGAAATGGCGTGAGTATATCTGCTATATGGGACAAAGTAATAGAAATGGCGTGAACATATCTATTAAATGAAAAAAAAAATGGCGGAAAAAAATCGGCTCGTCGCGTTATAATAAAAGAAGGCTCAATAATTCACCTTATAACATTTTCCGCGAGAATTTGTTTGTTTGTTATCTCAATAAGAAGGAAAAAATTTTAATTAAGCAGAGTTGCATTTTCAATAGTAAACATTCTTAAATTAAATTGAAGAAACATATATTGGAAAATTTCATGCGGTTGCTTCCTCATCCTTATGATAAATACGCGCAAAGTAAAATCGACAATAATATAACTACATAATTTACTATTTGTACTATCATCCAACCCGATAAAAATATCGGGCGCAAAAAAGGAAAATAAAGTAATAATGCATGATGATTTAAGGGTGTGAAGTTATCTTTAGATATAACTGGCAGAGACACAAACTAAAAAATTTTTGCAGAGCTCTGTTAAGCCGATATTCTGTTAAAGGAAGTCTTGAAGAGATTTACCTCAAAACACAGTTAAAATGGAACTTGTCGAGAAATTTTTTACAAAATATCATAAATAAAACATGACTTTATGTAAATTAATTAATATTCGAGAGGACAACATTTTCACACTATGTCATAAATGAGGTTGATAAAGAGAAACCATGCCCTGTGAACAAATGAAACTGGTACGGCATGAATCCCCTATTAATAGCCTTCCCAGCGATGTCTAGGTTATATTAAGTTTTGCCCGGAGAATATTTTTATGGCACTTTGAAAATTGCCGTGCTTAACATCATTTTTGTACGAGTACTATAGCATTCCTGTTTTTGTTTTTTTTTATTTAATAATACTTTTACTGTTATATCTTTATATCTATATCAAATTGTCTTACATGCTGGTCGATTTTCTTAACAATTGTTTTACGGCGGATTGAATAAATTGTCGTGTGTAGTTGATTATATAATTATCGCATACAAGAAATTTCTAGAATATCAGACTAACAAAAAAAATCGCAAGAGCGAAAAAACAAAAAATCAGCTATCCGATTACATGATAAATCAAAGATCCATTTATTTAGTATATAAAACGTAATCGTAATTACACCTATAGTGCCTGCTTTAAACCACATTTCTTTATGATCTTTTTAGCATATTGTAAGTAATCCAAAAATTACTTTTCGTTGCTGTTCCATGCATACGTGATCGTTTTATGATTGCCGGTCGTAAACAGTTGGTTTTCAAAGTGATAAAAAATTTATGATCAGCCGCACCCTTACAGGCAAAGCTTTAAGATTAAAGTATTGATTTCAACAGAAGGACGTACACAGAAACTTTGTGTATATATATATGCATCGTGAGGCTCACAAACTTTCTATGTTCGTCTTTCTGTCTGCATTGAAAGTATTTGAGAAATCTAGAGGCTATCAGCATGTCTAAAGAACGTCGTTGTCGCATGTTCAAGAAAGATTTAGGCGTAAACAAGCTGAGCGACCATTGAGTTTCATGTTTCCTCATCTTAGACTAAAAACGCCCCGTTACAGATCGATGGCTACAAGGGCGAATTTGCATGAATTGAGGTTAGATTTTTTGCCCTATTCGTTGCGTTTTCAAGATATGGCCGCCAAGGACAATTATATGTTCGGAAATCTTAGAAGGATGTACCAGGGTCGTATATTAAGAACGTTGCGAAAACTTAAACGTATTTCGAGAGTTATGACAAATCACTTTCTAAAAGTGGTATCGAACTATTAAAGAGAGGCTTGGAGAAGCTGCTTGTATCGGGTTATATTGACGAATGTTTAAAGTCGAATGTTTTTTCTCCTCAGGTACCTCTGCTATTCTTATTTGAACTTGTTAATTTCTACCACTTCAAAAAAGGCCTATGTGACTCGACGTAGTACTTTAATGGTTCTTTAAAGTAAATCTTTTCCCACTAATTTCTGCAAATACGTTTCGCAGTTCCAATGTCATAATAACTTACAGGCACATATCGGCACCCAGTTCAACTTGAGAAAGATCATATCTGTTTGCGGATATTAATTCTATATATTCATGCATAACATGTAAAATTGCCGTTTATCATATTTAACTTTTTCTTTTACATTAACATAAGCGAACATTATCTAACCCATCAGCAAAAGTGTTCAATTTATTTCCTTGATATAGAAAGAAGCGAACAATAATTCTATATTTTATAGCATTATTGTTGGCGCTCCTCGTGCCCAATCAACCTTGCCGTTACAACGGTATATTAATGAAACTGGTGCCATATACAGATGTTATTTATCTGATCACACATGCAGTCCGTACGTGTTCGATGATCAAGGCAATCGTAATATTGAATACAGTGAATACACATACGATTCCGAGAAGCGCGACTTTCAATGGTTAGGTGCAGCCATGGATGGCGGCGTGAAAGACACCGATAAATTGTTAGTTTGTGCTCCCAGATTTGTAGCACCCGCTCCCAATGATTATCTTATGCATGGCCTATGTTATTGGATCAATGACACATTAACCGATAGTCCGACGAACGTTCGTAAAATATCGCCCTTACGCTTAAAACAGGATCAAATTAAAGAAGAGAAAGGGCAACGAGTATATTATTATATGTTGGCTGAACAAGGTCTAAGTGCTCATATAACACCTAACAATGAAGAATTCTTAATTGGTGCGCCCGGTATTCATACGTGGAAAGGCTCCGTAATACGTTACCGTAAGCGAACCGTCAATGATGATCCATCATTAAGTCGCCGCGATACAGAGAAAGCTGCTCGTCGTCGAGTATCGCGTCAGTCTGAGGGCGAGTTACCTCAGGCATATTATGAATCCGATATACCCAATCCGGAGAAATTCGAACAACCTAACGATTCCTATTTTGGTTACTCAGTAAGTTCGGGTTATTTTGATAGCAACGATAAAGAAAAACTCTTGTACGTAGCTACAGCGCCTCAAGCTAACGAGCAATCAGGGGAGGTATTATTTTTTGAAGAATGCATGATAACGCTTTTATCTTGACATAACACATTCTTGCAGGCGTATATTTTTGATTTAGCTAGTGGTGGAACTATAAGCAAAAGCTATGTGTTTCGAGGTAAACAATTTGGTGAGTATTTCGGTTATGCAGTTTTGGCAGAAGACTTGAATAATGATGGCCTAACGGATGTTATTATTTCGGCACCTCAGTACAGCGTGACGGGTTCATTTGACGAGGGCGCCATATATGTTTTTCTAAATCAAGGCAGAGTGAGTTCTCTTGAATAATACAATTTTCATTTATTAAACAAGATTTTCCTTCCAGTTTAATTTCGAACGCAAACTCTTGGTGTCACCGATACGGGGCAAAGTACGCTTTGGAACAACTTTAACACGACTGGGCGATATCAATCATGACGGCTATAATGATATTGCCGTCGGAGCTCCATTCGCTGGAAATGGCTCCGTATTTATATATTTGGGCAGCGAACGAGGCTTGCGGGAACAAACGAGTCAACGTTTAAAATCGCCATTACGCTCAGAGTCAATTTATGGATTGCATATGTTCGGCCATGGCTTATCAAAAGGCTCAGATATTGACAATAACGGCTTTAATGATTTAGCGATAGGTGCTCCAAATGCTGAAACGGTCTTCCTTTATCGTGCATACCCAGTAGTCCAAATTCATGCCACTATCAATTCGCAGACACGTGAAATTAAACCAGAACAGACTAGTTTTCCAGTGACAATATGTTACGGTATCTCTACAACATCTTCTAGAATCGTATCCCAGGATTTAGCGTTACGCGTTGCTGTCGACCCTCAGGTGAAACGTGTAAAACTTGTGTCCACCGGCACCAATGAGCTGACATTCAACGCTTCGGCTGGTTTACAAATGCAGTGTCGCGTTTTGGAATGCGATGTACGGTTTAGCGTGGCTGATATTTTTAAACCGATAGAACTAGAAATTCATTATGAGCTTATTAATGGCATACCGGATTCGGAAGGTAAATAAGAGATTTCTAAGAAGATTCGCTGAGCTTTCAAATTCTTATCTTTCTTATCTTAGTATTTTGTGAGATATGTGCTGCTGTGGATCCAGCAGAACCTAAGCTTTATAGACAGAAAATTATCTTTAGTACAGGTTGTGCTTCCGAAATTTGCATCGCCGATTTGCAAGTAATGAGTACAGGGCTTGAGTGAGTTCGAAAAAAGAAAGGTTATAATCAATAGTTACTTCTATTAAGCATATCGAACAATTCTAGTCATACATATATCTTGGGTAGCAGCCGAACGTTTACTGTTACATACGAGATTGTTAACAAGGGCGAAACGGCTTACTTACCTCAAATCAATATTACGTCTTCCAATCGTATGCCATTCGCGAAAGTACCTTCAAATTGTAAAGCTTCCACCGATGCGGTAATGTTATGCGATCTTAATCGCGGCCAACCGATGGCCAAAGGAGCGAAAGATAGTCTTAAAGTGATTTATGATGTCACCGGCATTTCCGGTAACGCTTTAATTTTGACAGCAGAAGTGTTCAGCACTGGCAAAGAACTTGCCAGTAGCGACAATATCGTTCGAGAGGTTATAACTCTAACTGAATTCACTGAAATTGACGCAATTGGGTAAGATTTAAATATCCTTAATCAGATCAAGTACGGAGTGATAATATGATTTTATTGCATAGAGCACCTAAAACACCACACATTAATTTAGAGAAGATTACCGACACTGCTGAAGTTATTAATATTTACGAGGTGAGTCCCGGTTGGGAAAACGATTCCATTCCACGATTATTTATTTCTTTAATATCGTTAAACGACAGATCAAAAGCAATGGACCCAGTAATGTTGGAGCAATGGAATTGAAGTTTGATATACCCGTTGCATACAGAATACTAGGGGCTACCGCAACTATACCCATCATCGATATGAGCAATATTACTATGCAAGCTACTTACGATTCACAACTGGTGGGCATCGATTTTTATCAAAACACTACCCAGATCCTTATGAATAGCATCGAAACAATTTCAAGAGGCCATCTTGCTGCTTCTGCTAGCGATTTCAATATACTAGACCGTGGTGTGGATTTTGACTCGATGAAAATGGATGATAACAAGGATGGCACCTTAGATGGTAACCTATCCGTTGGTGATATATTAACTTAACTGATTTTTTTTTTTTTTTTTTTTTTGCTATTTAGACTTAATTTTGGCTGCCTCCTTAACCAGTCGGCGGCAAAGACGTGAAGTGACTGCTTATACCGCAAGTAAAGAGCAATATGCTCGTATTGCTCAATTCAAGGCGTATGACATGCTGAGTGACGACTTAAAAGGAACGCTGCCCGTTAATCGTACCATCATTTTTAATTGCAATGATTCTGAAACAACTATTTGTGTGCGGGCAGTGATGCATGTTTATGATTTTAAGCCCGATAAACCGCTCACCGTTATCATGAAATACAATGTCGATCTCAATGAAGTCAATCAAATTTTAATTGAACCTTGGGAATTTTTCGTTATACTCATTGGATTGGATGTAACGAAATCAAATGATCCATTGGGCAAAACATTGGCTATTAATAAGAAAATTGAATTCAATATCATTTCAAAGCATCAACTCTATGTTACACCAATTTGGGTAATTGTATTAGCCGTTCTTGGAGGTTTGCTGGCATTGGCGTTGATTACCTATGGCATGTATCGGGTAAGTTGCATGCAAAATAGAGTTTAACGGTTAAGAGTAACGGTTTGAAATTTCATGAAATATATTAGGCTGGCTTTTTTAAACGTGCCACCAAAGAGGAAATGGATAAATTGGTACATCAAGCTCAAGTGTCAGGCGATGGTGTTAACGAGACATCCACTTTAAATGCCGAGAGTAATTGAACTGCATTTACTTACCTATTGTGACAAATGTTATGTAATGCATTTTATAAGCGTGCCTCTAATTGCTGTGAATAGACCTCCTGCCGTTGTTTTTATGATAAAAGCAACTCTATTAATATTAATAGTAGTAATAATAATAATAATAATAATTATAATAACAATAAAAATTATTTTTACTCCATGTTAACATAGTATATGGCAATGTCTGCATGCAAGCACGTAGATAGCTATGAGTCATTTTGTAATTTGATGTTTCTTTTTTTTTTTTTTTTTTTTTTTTTTTTTTTGCAGATTTACTTATCTACATATATGCAAAAAAGCAATAATGATACCAAATGTTACTATTATTTTTTTTTTTATTATTGAAATATTATTTTAATTAGACATTAATGAACTTTATTTATTGCTCTTAGTTTTGTTGTAGTTTTTTAAGTGTACAAACTGTTTTACATATATAGATATGTGACTCTTGTTATATAAATACTTTTTTCATTTACATTTACTTACTGAACGTCTGTCTATCTGTTCTGTGAAAAAAAAAACCTAAACGACAGACCAACGAAGGGATTTCTGTTGGACCGTTTTAATCACTTATTGGATAGTTACGTGAAATATGTGCATTTTACTGAATTTCTTTTGAGCTCTTGCGCGTAATATAAGCATACAATGTAAATTTGTTGGATATAAGTTTTTTTTTTTTTTCATATTTACATATGAGTATCACAAGAAACGAAATAAATTATCTATTTTTATATTGAGGTAATGAACATTCGCTTTCCAACATCATTTAATGTGAAGGGCAATCTTGTTACACTATTTTTTACACTATTTATACACTATTTATTTGTCTGATATCTATCCATGTAAACTTCTGTTCAAACTACATGTCGCCATTTTGGAGATATTCCGAATGAAATTTGGTTGTTTGGATTCAGGTACGAACGCCATTGAAAATGATTTGGATCGATTCATTTTTTCGACTACACCCCATGTAACGCCCTATTCTATAAATGTGGGTAGTAGTAGTATTTCGGCATTCTAAATTGTACCGGCGGGGACAATTTTTGAAACCCCTCTCATATAAAGACAACTGACGTACCTACGATAAACATATATAATTTTCAATGCTTCATGATGAAAATTATACCAATAGTAATTTCACATAAAAAAATTATTTGTAAAATTGACCCATAATAATAACAATTTTATACAAAAATAAGAATTATGTGTGGTATATGTGGTGTAGGGTATTTAACGGTCGGCCTTGCCCGACTATAATGTTCAATCAAAAAGGGTAACGCGTTTGGGGTAATAATTCTCGTTATACTGCTGAGCAGTCCAATAGCACAGTCCAGGCGTGCGTCAAATAGACGGAATTTTTGATAATTTTTTTTAATAAAGTCTTGTACGTTGGTCTTAGTTGATTTCCAATATTTCCCGAAATTTAAAATTTACCTTTCATATGGACCGAAAAGAGAAAGCATATTCGTCATTGGGACATTTCAAATAATCGGTGCACTTGACATATAACCAAGTAATGTTCCAGTTTTTGGTTTGATCTTGACGCTATCTTGTTAAGGTCAAGCCCGAGTTGCATTCAATTCGATGAATGATCTCTTCAAGACTTAATCCATAATTACATATATAAGAGTTCAAGAGTTTTCTTTCTCAGCCTAACAACAAATTTCGATTTACAAAATTTTATACACAATGTTTTTATGTAACTTTTAATTGAACTTCTACTTAAAACGACTCCAGCACTGCTTAAGTAGTGACTGGCTAGACAAACGCTTAAGACGACGCTAATTAATATGGTCAAAATCGACGTTAAAACATCTGGAATCGATTTATAGTTTCCGTTATCAGACTAGCCCGATGACGACTTCCCATTCTGAGTTGATGGCTGGGTTCTTGTGAATGACCATCCGTATGTATATTTAATCGATACCTAACGTGAAAATGATCAGTCAATTACTTGAAAGAAATCAAGTTATTAGCACGATGCCACGAACTTTAGAACAGGACCTAGAGTTGCTAGAGTTGATCTTCGAAAAGCGTAGAAGATATGGTGGCCCCAAGAAAGACAAACACTTCTCAGACCATGCAGCAGTTTGCACTTGGAATCGCTCCTTGACAAATTTACAAACTTCCAAATGTTGCTCGCAGAGTACAACCACACATTGAGGAATTAGATTACTTTATGAAAGACATGCCAGTGCCAACAATTACAAATGACGCGGTATTATTAAATGCGTCCGCCGTTTATTTAACGAAATGAACACTTCCCACTAATTGAGTGAGAGAGTGAGCAATAAAGATATATATGAGCACATCGCGGAATTGCAAACAATGTCAATGAACCATGCAGAAAGCTCCAACAGGATATATATAGAGCTATGCGAAGCATTCATAAAAAGAGCAATAGAACTTTCGAGCTTCACGTTCAAAGGGAAAATATGGTAACATGAGAGCATATATTTGACAAATTTAATGGACTTAGAAAGGTTACGTCATCTCGGAAACTCGATTACGTTCACGAAAATTATAGTAACGAAGCATTATTCTACCTAGTGCTGCAAAACTGCTTGAAATGGGGATATAGAATTTTGTGTGAACGACAAAAGTGGAAATATATGATTCCTAGAAACTGTGTAATTAGCTCCCCTTAACTGTGTAAAGAGGAGATGAGCATAAGATTATAAAAGAGGAGAGATAAATACGATTCTTGAGGACGTCTGGGAAACTGTGGTCCAATGCAAACTTTAAGGCTACGAGATTTTAGAAAACTTATTTTTATTGATTCTAAATTTTTCATTTGGATAATTAGAACTTTATGCTAGACTACATCAAAGGCCGCGTATTAGGCTTAATAGGTTTTTTTAACCGCTAAGCAATTTGCGCACATAATATAGTAAAAAAATTCCACATAACTTTATGTGTGCGTACTGTGTGTGTGTATGTGTGTGTGTGTAAAAAAAAATTAACAATATCCAGGGGGGTAACCACGTCTCCCAAGGTTGGCTTGCATTCACGCTCTTCGCCTTATTTGGAATCTCGATAGCATTCATCATTGCTTGATGACTTTTTATTACCGGGGTCACGTAAGCGCGACAGCTATTAAAGACAAAAAAAAAGATTGTTGACAAGAAAAGTTTGAATTCGTCACAGAGCCAAAAGTTGCAAAAAAGGAAAACTTTTCGCTTTAAGAATTTTTCAGAATTTTTTATTTGGGTGGACATATAAGCCACACTCCTTATTAGCTTAGTGCAGTTAATCTCAGCACACCAAAACAATAAAGCTTGAATTTGTGAAAGGTTTTGTTAAAGGTTAAGAAATAACCGCGTTGTGTTAATTAAAATACAAGTATTAGGCAGAATGCTGCGGCGCATCATTTTGTATCATTTGATGGAACAGTATTCGACTTTGCTGAAGACACCGGAAAGGGCTTATTTCTATTTCATTGATATTCATTTTATTATTTCATTAATACTTTTTACAATAGATATAATCATATATGTATATATTAAATGTATAAATAATAAATATACAAAGATAAAAAATATAAAATCCATAGTTTGTCAACATAAAGCATTAAAGTGATTCTTTTAGATGAAATTAGTGTAGAAACAGTAAGTTCCTTGCCACCATCCTCGAAATCAGCCATCCTTGTTATCAGGCAAAGGACGAGATCGATCTTTTTCTTTCCTCCTCCTACTGTTCACGATTTTCTCTTTTAATTATTGTTAGACGATCTCTTGGAAGCTTCTTTTATTATCGATTTGCTTCTGGGACACGCTACCTAACCCTAACTTACGTACATTATGGTTCAATAAAATGATTACAATTAAAAAAAAAAAATTTATTTTTATTTAATTTGGTTTTGGGAAGCCCTATTGAAGCCTAAACGAAGACAAGCTTCGCGATTGGGAATTATAAAAATTGCTTTGAGGTATGGGTTAGGTAGGTAAGAACACATCACGTAAATAGCCTCCAGGGGGTTGCTGGCATGTAGGCAGTGCTTCATCGAAATTCTGATCACCGCAACGACCATGAAATTTCTCATACAGTAAATTGTTTCACGGGATGTAAGGCACGAGGAGGCGTTTTGTCGTTCATAGCAGCACCATCCAATTTAGGTAGAAAGAACCGGGTTATCATAGCACGATATCGAGCGCCAGTGATAGGTATTCAACATTTTCGAAGAAGTAAAGCCAAACTTTCATTATAATGAACAAGTTGCTCTCTCGCTCTGAACTGTCAGCTGTCAAACTGTTTGTTCTTCTTTTTGGATGCGAACAGTTTACGCTCATTTAATCTCTTTGTCGCCTGAAAAGTTACTCATCTTGTGAAAACGACTTGACATAAGATTGCAGCGTACAAAGGTGCTTTACCTATTTGCTGATCATAGCTGCGGTAAGTAATTCAATTGAAACGAGGCATAATATTAAACAATTATTTATGCTAAGAGTTTGTCCAGGCAGAAGGCATTCATTTCACAGAAAATTTGGCCTAATTATCGCTTTAGTTTAATAAATTGCTTTTAGAAAGAACAGAAAATTAAACGTGATGATGATTCGTTTCTACTCTCACTTGTGTACATTCCGTGCATTAGAAATCTATTCCTCTTAAAATCATCGTTTCATTGGTAACCCAATACTGAGATCGTCTCGCTCAGAAATATTCCAGCGAATAGAAATGTTACACCTTGAAGAGAAATATTGTTCTTGTTATGTATTATGTAATTACCAACGTGGAATATAGTTTCTGTTATGTAATTGATATGTTTTTCTCTTACATGATATCAAATTGGTGACTAGTTTGCATAAAGGCTTTCACTTGTTGCGTTTAATTGAAAGAAGAGGAAAATCGAGTGAACGTAATATAAATAATGACTTTATTGGTCTATTTTTCAAAATGCAATTTATTTTGATTTTAGTTGAAACATTTCAAATGATTCCATATACGCTTTTCACACAAAAACATTTCAATCTAAGCTACTCGTTATCAAGTAAAAATAAAGTAAATAATGTTTCCCAACATGCGTAACGTGTAAATGTACATTCGCAAGATTTTGTGATTCATTTATTATTTTTTTGTTTTTGTTTTTGTTTTTTTTTTTTTTTAATTAGTTATTTAGCTTTCTCTTCTAGTTTTAAAAACACTTAGATTAGACCAGTGAGCTGAAAATTAAAAGATAGTGTTTGCTTTTGATTGGATATTTTCACAGAAATAGACTTTTGAATGACTCTGAGGTGGTTGCAAGCATGATCAAGTTCGTTTTATGTCTTAACATGTATGGAATGACTAAGAATTGATTTAAAGCTACGGATTACACACACAGTGTTTTTATTCGGTTTTTCGGATATTCTGAAAATTTATAAAATCCAAATAT